AATAGCAATAATTTAAATAGGCAGTCTTTTTAGAATATTTGAAACACAAAGTACACTCAAATTGTCCCCGATATATGAACTGAATCAAAAAAGTAAAAAATTCTCTTCTTAACACAAAATGTCTGATTGGAGATAATAACATAAAGACACCCTTTGTTACATTATTTTGTGTGAGAATGAAGAGGGCACTGAATTGTGATGATGTTTCTCTTTGCAATGACAGTGTCTCTGATAACCTTTTAACATTTGAAAAGGTGATTTTATACTTGAAATCATTTCTTTTTTTGTTATCAAAAAAGGGATTTAAACTCAAACTTTTTCACAGTAGTTGGGATTTAAGGATCAATCAAAAATACCCAAGCTGCACTGGTTTAAAAATGTGCATCCTAATAAATCTGATTATATATCATTGGTGATTAAAACAGCAATAAACAACCATAATAATAATAATAATAATGTTGATAATAATAATAAACTTCAGAGCTGAAAACTGTGTGTACAATCTTTTATTGCTAAAATCACTTCCAATTATCATTTAAAAATAAATCTCTTTAATGGCCTGCAGCCACAATGTCAGCAAATGCAGGAACACAGAATGAATAGTGCATGAATAAAGATTAATTCAGGTGCGTGAACGTATTTGTAATAATACAAATATGAATACTGCTTTATTGCTTATATGTAAGATCTGTCATATTATGACAGTGGCAAAACGACTCATCAAAACCATTACTAAACGTTTAAGAAATAGGTCAAAGTTCAATTACTCAAATTGGGATTAAATCGCCATTATAACCCTGGGTCACTGATCAAAATGAGTCCACCAATGGAATGAATTTAGCAGAAAAGTCCTTGACAGTTCTGTATCAGGTGTTCTGTCACATGACACATGGCTTCACGTCCTGGTAGACACTTTGGTGATGGTGATGAAGCTGATGGTAGTACGAGCCGCTGGTGCTGGGGTGCAGGGAAGAGATTCCATTGAGGTTCAAAACGAAGTCCTTCCTGTCACACACAGGAGCTGAGTGGCTGTATCGGGACAGTCCTGCTGAAAACAAACAGGATACACAAGGTCAAATATTTTTCTGTAAACAGGATTTTATTTGTAAGCTAGCACGTGGTGATTTTCTTGGTGACTCTTCTTTACTAAAACTCATTTTACATCGTGTTTATAATGTATGGCTTTGTTATTTTATATAAAATACAATTGACAAATGTTCCATTGATCAGTGACAAGCCACTTGTAAGAGCAACTTTTGAGTTGCCATATAGTGAATGATTATGTGGATGATTTAGTTTTATTTTTTTCCTTGGTACTTTAATACACATTTTTTTAAACAAATGTTGGTAATACCAAATATGGAATATGTATTATGTTTCATTTCTAAGTAACCATCTAGTATGCATTAACGTGCATTAATATAGGGGTCCGTATTCTTTGTTTAGATTTTCCTTACAATAATCCATCAAATGTCCAGTTGTAAATGCTAAGACAATTGTGGAAACATTTATGATTGAAAATCAATTGTGATGATGCAGTGCATTTCCGAAACCTTCCTCATTGACTAAGAATATAAAAAACATAAAGCATTTCCCTTAGACGTTTAACATCAAGTGGATTTCTTTACAAAATGGCAACCCGAATTCTGTTCTTATCAGTATCATGGATTAATTAAACAATAGTACATTGTTTATTTACCATTAATATAGCCATCTGTTAAATGCTGGGGACATTAATAAGGTTTATTTTTGAAGTTGATCCACTTTATTTAGCTATTGCCTATAATACACAGTGAACATAAGGACAAATAATATAATTGAACGAAATAAGTAAACATAACACCCTCTACCGATTTCTTTTCTGATGTATGTAAAAGGCCTGAATAAAGCTGCACCTAAAATATTTAAATTCATTCTTGAGAGTATATTTTTGGACAGCATGTCGTTTTTTCGTTTGTATAGTTTTGTTTTTGCCGTTCATTTCTTTAAATCGTATTGTCATGTATTGTGTTATTGTGCCTGTTTTTTTATAAATTAAATAACACAGTGGCTTCTTTAAAAAGCATGCGTAAAAATTCAACTAAATTAGATTAAATTAATATGAAACACCATATAGAGGGGCTATGGTCTAAATTGCAAGTCAAAGTGTGAACAATGAATGCACAATTTGGATACTATTCTGTGTTTTACGCACGTGAATTTTCCTGAATACATTTGATGCATCTTCATTACATAAAGAAAATAAAGGGTAAAACCCTAATTTCTATAGATTGTAAATAATTAGGATATACTTTTTGCATGCATAAGATAACTTATCACTTTAATTAAATTAAAATCATAGCCTTTGATCCTTATGACGTACACATGCAGGAAACACAAAATATAGCTTATGCCTATTTTAATACTCTACCTGAAATGTCAGAGGAGTCTCGTGCATTATGGTGCAGATAGCCTTGATCCAGAGAGTAAGGTGACATCCCCGTGTGCAGTGCAGGAGAAGTGGGGCTGCTTGATGCCAACGACTGCTGTTTGATGTATGAAGAAACACCAGGTGAACTCCAGTGTGAAGCTGCATTAGCATACGGAGACTGACAATCCAAAGTGGATACCATCGCTGGGGGGGACTGCAGGGGGCTGCTGCTGCTGTCCGGGCAATAGTCCGGGTTAGAGGCCACCTGACATGCGGCCATGTACGATGACCCGGAGCCTGATGACATTTGTGGGACGTGATATCCCCTTTCGATTCCATCGAATCCACCTGGCACTGTATTACTCATCAAGTCTATGTTGTAGCTGTTATGACACGCTAATGAGCCTGTAGGTGATTGGAAATCAAAGTTTTGAGGCAGCATGGATGCACCAAACCCGATACCATTCATCATCCTGTACATTGGTTTCAAAGCTTGGCATTTTCTCCGGAACCCCCGAGGTCTGCGACGAAAAGAGCCCTCCTCGAACATAAACTCACTGCTCGGGTCTATGGTCCAGTAGTGCCCTTTACCAGGTCTACCGAGACCCTTTGGCAGCTTTATGAAACACTCGTTCAGAGACAGGTTGTGTCTGACGGAGTTTTTCCATCCCTGATAGGATCCCCTGAAGAAAGAGAAGCGGGCCTGCAAGAACTGATAGATTTCACTCAAAGTAAGCCTTTTGGTCGGTGAACTTTGAATTGCCATCACAATGAGCGCGATATATGAGTAGGGAGGCTTTTCAGGGCGCCTCATGCCAGAGTTTCCCTTTTTCCATTTTGGTGATGCATTTTGCTCGCTCTCCATCACTGGCTGCGCGCTCAGATCTGCATTCAGAGCTGGGCTTGAGCGAGCATCAGATGGATCCAAATGTTGCTTGGAGATTTCGGTCGTCATGGTTGATCAACACTTAATTAAATGTGCAAAATGTTCTATTATTTAATATTTAAACGATCAGTTTACGTGTGCGATGCTCTGCGCGTCTATAACCGTGAAAATCAAAAACCACCAGCCCTGTTCCCCCTTACTCTCTCTGTCCATCGCTGGCAATAATCCCACAAGAGAGCGGAAATAAAGCTCCTCGACTTTGCCTGCGCATATCCACCCGGCCAAACACAACTCGACCACCTATCAATTCTTAAATCTCTCTCTGCCCCTCTATCCCCCCAAATCCCTCCAAGAAATCGCCAGGAACTCCCTCCCCATCTGGCCATGATCCAGACAAGAAGCCGGACACAGCGCAGTGGAGTAAGACAGATCTCCTCCCACGACTTACTTTCCATAACACCTCTGAATGCATTTGTCATACTAATATGTGGCACAATCATTTAACAAACTTCCATAAATAAATCTCCACATGACAGATAATCCAATGTGTTCTCATACCTAAAAAAACAACACTATGGCTAGTTTTACTTTGTTAAGTATGAGAGAAAAAGTCATGCAGTGTTCATTTGTTTGGGATCTGTTCAGGGTTAAATCTCTGACATGAGAGGAAGCATGCTTTTTCCATCAGAGCGTGCCAACCACACACAACGCACTAGTGTCAGTTTACCTCTTGGAGCCTTGATTATATCCCTGGAGTGATTAACTGATTAGAAACTCTTAGAAATAGTTTTTGAATTTGCTTAGAATATATTGTTTGTGCTAGCTTAAGTAAAAGCCATTTTTGTGCATTAGTTTAGTTTCACTTGTGTCTGTTGAAGCTACTAGCAAGCTAGCAAGTTCCACAAACGTGGAATAATTTCCCACACCAGCAACGTTAAACACAATCTACCCAGAATGTCAGCAACATCAAACATGTAGCCCCGCTGCGTCCAGGATGCACAGCTGGTTTCAAGGAAATTTACTTTCTAGCCTCAGAAGAATAGGCCTACTTGGAATACATTTCTTCCTATTGTGGATTCAAGTTGTGTTCGTTCAGGATGCACCAATTGTACAAACCCTTTCCTGCGCATGTGTGGTGACCGAGGCGACGGCTATTTGCAGCACCAGACAGAAAACATAAATATTGGATGCCCCTATCCGGCAGTAGAGAGCGACACTGGAAATACTAATAAGGGAGTTTATTGTTGCATTCTAAATGTTAGACTGAGGAATGGAATGAGAATACAGACTTTATTCGAATCATTTTAATTTTAATTTTACAATTATTATGATTATTATTGTTGTTATTATTTGTATTATTATTATTATTATTATTGGTATGTGCCAGTAGGGCCTTCATGTTTTTTTCTAAGGAGCCTGTACTTCCTAATCAATAAAGGAGAACTATCTAACCTCCTACAAACGTTGCATAACATATTAGACTGCAAACCTCATTAAGCATTACACTTTTAGAAATAGGAAGATTCTGTTGTTGCCTCAGCGCCACGCAACAGATTCCTAAGAGCTCTTTAAGAATTTGGCAAGGTGGAGTCACACGCCTGAAAAACAATTATTGCCTTCGCACCGGTAACAGGTGTTTCAAACTCTCCTATTTTTCTCAACAAGAAGAACATTTTAACAAGAGCAGACCATCAACAGTGATCATTTTTATTTCATTGTAAAGAGCACACCTTTATTAAAGAAATAGACACAACAGTCAAAGTGCATTTAAAAAAAACGAAAAAAATACAAGTCAGTTCAGCAACATTTATAACAAACAATTCTGTATAAAATATCAAATCTGATAATGCTTAAAACGGTACAACAATTCTGTAACACCTTGGCATTAAAATAAAGTCAACTCTTCATCCTCCTTTTTGTCCATCATCAGTCCACAATGAGGATTTGTAATCATCAAATAAACATTTATGTCTGATATTGAAGAACTGTCTGTGACGCCAGTCTGCACTGATAGCCGTTTGGCACATGCGCAGAAAAGGAGTCCATGCAGCAGGCTGACTTGACGTATGAAAACGAGGCAGGTGTATTCAAATGAGCCATCATTAGTCCAGTGTAGTGCGGCCAGGTGGGGGTGGGGGCAGGGGGGTGAGGTAAATGTCCCATGTTTGAGTTTCTATTGAAAGGTTTGCTGAGGATGCTGTCTATCGCAAAGGAACTTGTAAACTTGACGCATGAATCAGTCTTGGTGGCGGGGGCAGTCTGCTGAATGCTCGGCGGCTCCTCTGCGGACACCTTTGGCTCTCTGTTTGATTTTTTATCAATGCGTTTTCTTCTGCGCTGGAACACCCCATCAGCAAATGTGTACTCGCTGTGGGGATTGAGCATCCAGTAATTATCCTTTCCCCAAGGTCTGGACGGGTCCCTGAGCACTTTGAGGAAGCAGTCATTCAGAGACAGGTTGTGTCGAACAGAGTTCCTCCAGCCGGTGTAGCTGCCTCTGAAGAAGGGGAATCTCTTCATCAGATAGTCGTTTATTTCTGCCAGAGTCAGACTTTCAGAGGAGGAGTCCCGGATGGCCATGGCGATGAGAGCGATGTACGAGAACGGGGGTTTGGGTCTCCGAGTGTACGGCTTGGATGTGCCGCTGTAGCACGGAGTAACAGGTGCAGGGCTGTTCGCCACGCAGTCTCCATCCGAACCGAGCTCCTCCTCGCCAGAAAGGGGAGAGCGCACAATCACTTCTGCATCCTTGGACATCTCGAAATGCTTCGTGTTATAGTGGCTACCACACAACACCTCCAACTTCATTGTCTTTGATGTATGTTCCGCTTTATATTACCTATCCAATTTGCTTTCTGCGTAAAGTCCGGTTTATTTTCGTCAAGACGCGGAGAGCTTTGAATTTACTCCGAATAAATTCTGCTGAGCTGTCATACCTGCCAGAGTGCTGAAGTCAGTCTCACCTACAACTCTGTGAGCAGCTGTTTATAGCCGGCTCACCTCAGGACCAACCCAAGTGGGCGGAGTTAAATGCTTTAAAAAGATTTGGAGCATCACAAAACACTATAATGTGATATATTTGTTGTCAATATTAAAACTGTGATCATACAACTTTTACCATGAGCATATAAGAAACTAACAATGTTAACTGGAAACACGCTCAGTGCAGCTTTATAACTTGCTCACCTGTGAAATGTGAGCTGGCAGAAACCTTGGGACTATTTCACCTGAGACAACCAGGTGGCGTATGTTTCCTTTGTATTCAAAGGTGCGGTGCCTGCAGGTGTTGAAGTGTCATTTGTCAATATCAGGGTGCATTGTAGCCTAATCTGTCCGTTCATATAGAAATGTTGTATATTGTTTTAATTATATTTTTGTAACCTTTATGTTTAGATAGGAGTGATATATTTAAACATCTGTGGCAGAAAGATGCTCACTTAAGATCTCTCTCATCCAAGCACTTTACTTAGGAGTGCACTTCGGTTCCTTACAGCCTTTGAAAACAAATAATGCCTGGTCCTTACAGCCACTCAGTTGAAAGATAGTGGATCTACCTGGGATTTACTTTTTGTAATTGAGGTTCTTTCTGAAGAACCAACTTTTGGGGTTTTTGGTTGGAACATCAGGGTTTCACTATGGATATAATTGCAAAGAGACGGTGCAAAGTTTCAGGTGAATAGACCCTTACTTTAAACTCAACTTTATGTTATGCTTTTAATAGCAATTATTACATAGTGCTACTCCACGGCACGGATATTTTCTCCTTTTACTCACTCCCTCAGATTCATCAGGCAGTCATGTTGAACTCAACAACCCATACTGGTATAATTGATGGTCTTACTGCAAAGTGTCAGGCCAAACCGCTGGTTTCATTGGTTGTGCTGTAATATTTTCACCAAATAGACAAAAAGAAAACATAATAACCTCATAAAGTACATCACCTGGAAACCAATGTTGACATCATATTAGCCGCTGATATGTTGTTACTCTGACAAGTGGTTACAACGTTTGTTTATGCAATATGTGCTTTTCAAGATGTTTTTTGTTTGTGCTGGAGTGACTGTCATAATACTCAGGTAGTGATCTGTTTGTGTTGTCTGTGACACCCAAACCAGGGTGAAGTCACTATTTTGAAAGGTGGCATGTGAAAGATGGATTATTTAAGCTAACCACACAATGACAGGAGCTCAAATACCACATATTCATTCTGGTCACTGCATGTAGCAGCTTGTGAGGCTGTGGTGTGTCTCTGTGTTCTTGTATACATCAGGATCTACTTAATAACAGCTTTACGAGTGGAACCACTGGAATATGTGCGCCTTATAAACTGCCAAAGGTGAAGGAAGGAAAAAAAGTGAAAAGTGAGAAACCTATTAATTAATGGATCACCAACATTTAAATCTGCGTTATAAAGTTTTTACAAAATGTATTGCTAATCCATTAGTGACTATGGATAAGCCTTTTCCAAGACAGTGAAGATAAAATGGGGCAAACAACTGTAAAAAAAGTTTGCTGAGCCAACTATACTATAATAAAGAGTAGTAAATAAAGTATATTGGTATAGAAATTAGTTTCTAGCTCTTATTGTTCATGAGTCAATATAAGTGTTACATTACAGCATGTTGGCTCTCTGAAGACAGCTGATCATAAAATAACTTTCACTTTTACGTGACTTTTACGTTTTAAAGCACACACCTGTAAGCCATAACATGGAAGAACTTCAGAGTACAGTATAACTAGTGTTGTAATGAAATAATGACAATTTCTGAACAGCATTATGTCCATTATTATTTATTAGGTACATATTCCCTATCATGTTTATTTAAGTCCCATTTCTTGTTTTTATATTGTCTTGTTATTTTTATATTGTCTTGTTGTTGCCCGTTGGCACCTTCAGTTCATATTGTAATTCCGTTGTACTTGCACAATGACAGATTAAAGATCTTATCTTATCTTATTAACCCTCCATATTTATTATGAATATGAAATTAATTTAGACATTACAGATTAATATATGTATTTGGCTGCAGTACACTATCACTGCATCTCTGACTCTGGCCTTGATCTATCACTTGTTGTTGATCTGTTGGAATGAGGAACACTGTGGAGCAGACATCAGACTTCAGTGACCAACACCCTGATTGTTGCTGATAAAGTTCAGTGATTGGTTGGCACAGAGTTCAGTTTATTAACTGTAAATAATTACTAACTGATGCCAACATAACAAAACCCATGCAGTACATTACAATTATGCTTCTCCGCACATGCAGCAGTTGCATGAAAACTCACTTACAGTTGAGTGTATGTGGTGCATTAACTATTCTGACCTCGGTGCTCTTCTTCTCTTACAATTTTCAGTTAACCAGTACTTTGATGTCTGGAAGGTTACTAGGACCAGCATTAACTAATGAAAGAGACACAGTCGCATACCCATCCAATCTGTTCCCTCTGTTTGCGGTTGTTTTTGAAGGAAAATAGTTTACCAGTCATTGTTAGAGGGCAAGGAGAAGACATAAATATTCTTAGTTGACTACAGGTGTAGAGAACAAAGCTGTGGCTTAAAGACTGCAAATGGTGGAGAACACCAGGTGCTGTGTGATGTAATTCATGTGGAGTTTTCCTGTTACTAGGTCAATCAGTTCAAAGGGTTTTGTGAAATTATAATGCACTGTATATAGTGAAACAGGGATGAAACAAAGCATTCAAGACACTTTATTTCTTCTACATTAGGCAAACAATGTGTATTCTAAATGGCAAATCACTAAAAAACCAATACATATACAACCCTATTGCTATCATTTGTGTTATTGTTTGTTAGTACTGTGTTTGGAACTCACATTCATGCTTTTGTCAGTAAAAGACTGTTCTGTTTATTTTAAACGTAGTAGATCATTGTTTTACACCGGACAGCTTTTGACACTTTTTCTTTAATGTCTTGTTAATTCTTTAAACCCTGCTTAGCGCTTCAGTAGTATAAACTGTTGCAGCAGAGTCCACAAAATGTCTAAACTATATTTAGTTTGCATAACTCCCGCTCAAGGGTTGTGTCTGTCTATGCAAACACAAAGCTTTTGCGTGCGAGGTAGCAGATCATTTGAAATGTTCAGATGTTTTGCAAAGGATTATGTTGCTGAGAGCGTAAAGATCACTGAGTGGCTTCAGAGTATTCAGAGGTTCAAAATAGAAACAGAATTTCATATTGATTCCAGGCATTCCTTCGTGCTATTTATGGCAGCCGTGTGTTTATTACCGTTACGTACAATACGTCCCACCTCAAAATATTTAATCAGCCACTAAGTATAGTATTTTGACAGCTCTGTTTTGAAACCATGTTACCAGCGTCTCAGTATTTAACTTGAGCATTATGGTTTTGCACAAACATGTGCGTGTTCTTAGTCATCATCAGCTTGTTTCTTCATGTATATTTGGCTGCACATGTGTCTCCATGTAGTGTAGCTGGTCCCACCCTTTAAATGTATTCACCTGAAAGCACGTTATGTCTTAGTTTAGACTTTTGCCTTACCCTTTAATATGCCCTAAATATAGGTGATGTTAGAGACACACATTTAAAGAGGACTGTTAACAAAGTTCAAGTTCTCTCATGTCTCTTGATAGGAGAAGTAGCAGGAATGAAAGCAGGCTCCTGCCTGTTGCTGGGTTTGGAAGTTTCTATTTTGGTCTTGTCTTCATGGAGATAAAGAAAATGAGCTGCCAAACAAATAGGAAGAAATAATGACTTGAAGGAGCAGGGGGAGGGTTTATCGACAGGATGAGAAAGATAAGTAAGAGCTTTTTTACTTACGCCCTCAGTATGTTGGTTCAAAGAAACCATAATTATACTCTCATAACAAGAAATGTGTTGCTCTGGTACAACAGAATCCTAATTTCTGTCTAATCTGTTGTAGCTTTGTATTTATTTCTCTGTTGCAATCATGGCATTTTCCCTTTTTTCCCTTTTTGATTAACTGATCAAATCCTTTTCAGATTCAAAACTTTCCCTTAGTTGTTAAACTATTGTTTTCTTGCCCATCTAGCCAATCTTGTTACGGTGTATGTTGGAAGCAGGACCCAAATGCAGATATAAACTGAAAAAACTCCTTTATTTCAAGGCTAGGATAAAAACAAAGACAAAACAGAACACTCACCGACGAACTAGTCATGACACAAGACGAACCGACAAAGACAGACATAAAAACCAGAACTTAAATACACACAAGACTAATCACAGAAACAAGACACAGGTGAGGAGGGAGGAGAAAACTCAGGGACACCAGGTGAACACAATCGGGTAAATTAGACACACCAGGGAAACTGACAGGGAACCACAGACCGATCTAAACAAGACAAAACACAACACAGACAGAAAACCAAAGACCGATCTAGACAAGACAAAACACCATAAAGACAGATCGTGACAAATCTTCTCACATTTTTCAACATTACATTTTTACATATGGTCTACTTAAACACCCAATAACGTTATCCCAGCTTCTCCATTCTTAAATGCACTGCTTGGTGTGCTTCCTGGTTTATATCCATATATGTTTAGAGAAAAATAACATTATAAATCCAAAGCAGGCAAAAACTGGTAAAAGTCAAATGTAAAAGTAGACACTAGAAAAAAAGGTATTCGTGGGGGTGAATTAAGATAAATAAGTGTGAAGACTAACTGATGCAGATCCTATTTTGTTTGCATATTTGCATCAGAGAATATTTCAGTTAAAACCGTTCCGAGCTTCCTGGAACAAGGTTAGAAGGTCCTAGACACTGGTTTAGTGTACGTCATGCATAACTTATGTGTGAATACACCACTTAACTGCTCTTGTACAAAAAGCTAGCATTGGGGGTAAAACATAACAAATACATAGCATAAAGGGAGGGGTTGTTGGATATGAGGTTTCTGGTACTGAGACCTCTGTTGAGGTCGGATGTAAGCTGACAGACTCATGCTGTAAACTGTTACAGGCAATCTGCAGGGCTGCAACTCTGGTATTGTCATCACACAATGGTAGAGAGAAAGGCCAGATAAGTGTCTCAATCTGTGTATGAAAAGCAATAAGGCAGGCCTTCGTGTTATTAAACCGGCTCAGATGTTCAGTCTTTAGTCGATTTGTTGTTCTTTTAAAAATGTATGAAGAGAAACTGCACCCACTGACTCACTCACCCACTCAGTTTGACAGATAAGGTTGAATACTTTGGTTGGTTGAAATGTTTGGTTTCCAATATAGTTTTAGGAGAGACATCAGGGTTATCATCGCATGAATTAACATCAAACTTGATAACTTTTTTTCTGTCATCTCTTTCTGTTTACAAAGCTGCAGAACATGGCACCGCATAACTAAAATAGAATAAATTCAAAGCTGTAAACAAG